TTTTTTATTATTTAGGGATAAAAAAGTACAAAAATTAGTTCAAAAACTAAAAATATTTAAAATTAAAAGATCAAACACTAAAATTGATATTTAACCTTTAGCATTTAACCTGAAATAAAGGAAATGGAAAAGGAAAGTGACAGTTCATTAGTCTCTTACCCCCATAGTAAAACTAGTCTTTTCTACTGATGAATCCCAACCATGTTGAGCAATTTCAGTGCTGTTAGAAGAAAGGTTAAGGTTATTTTTTTGTCATAAATATATATAAAAAATATATAAATTGATATTAAATTAATATCAAGTAGAAAAATAAATTAAATAATTGATAAACTAAAACTTAATTTTATTTTTAATATAAATTCATCAAAAAAAATACACTGTTAAAGATGTAGATTAAATAAATCTTTGAAAAAAAAGAGGAGGGGGGGGGGCGGTTGGGGGGAAGAGAGAGAGAAGAAGAAGAAGAAGAAGAAGAAAAAGAAAGAAAGAAAGAAAGAAAGAAAGAAAGAAAGAAAAGGAAACCCAACTATTATACCAATTATAATCTAATGATTTGTAACTCTCAAAACTGACTGCGTTTTACAGCTTCCACAGAATAATATGCCAGTGTTGCGTTGTACACCATCAACAGTTCCTTTCATGTATCATGTGATTAACCATTTCAGCAGTTGTGGGCCATTTGGTCCTATGATCCTCAACAAATTTACCCATCAATCACGATTTTCATTTTTTTTTTTTTGTGAACAATACAGAAGGCAGAAGCACACAAACCATTCATTGTAGCATCTGTCCAACCAATTCTCACCCAAAGTCTCTCTCTTTCAGTCTTTCTCAAGTAGAACCTGAGCAACCGCTAATACTTTAAGAGTTGTGTTGGGAGAACTTTCTTTGTCAAGACGCCTCATTTGTTTCCTTACTCAACTCAACCATCTTTCTCTCTACAGCCAATTAGTTCAGCTCACACCTCTCTAAACCAACTTTCATCTTTTCCTTTTCCTTTTCTCAGAATTCTTATTTATGGTGTTGTGGGTTCGTTTTTTGTCCAAGAAAAGATCATCAACTTCACAAAGGGTAGCGAGCAATGCGGTTAAAGGGGAGATAGATTGGGAGCTGAGACCTGGTGGCATGCTGGTTCAGAAGAGGGATCCTGGCGATGCAGCTTCTGGTCCCATGATCAAGATCAAGGTCTCTTATGATTCTTATCACCATGATATCACTATCTCAGCTCAGTCCACGTTTGGTAATTACCTTCTCATTTCTTTTCTGGGATTTTGGGATTGTCTCTGTTTAAAATTTATGGAAAAAGAAAAAAATAGGTTCCTTCTGCTGTTTGTTGAGAAGGGGTATGCTGCATTTTTGCCATCCATGGAATTCTATCTGAATCACGCGCCCATTTCCACTAATTTGGTTTTGGTGGGTGTAACAATCATGTTATTTGATTGCAATGAAGTGGTGCTTAGAAATCAAATAGTGATCAATTCAAGAAATTTTTCTAAACAAACTTTGTATGAGAGATTAGCATATATGTTATTTACTTGTACTGAGGATCAACTGATTTCCCCAAAGTATGCCTTTCGAGACCATTATATGTCTGTCTCCTCTCTGGACTGTTTTTTGTTGAATTTACGCCTATTCTTTGCATGTGTTGTATTAAGCTGCAATGTGACTACGAAATTGATGCTGAAATGTTATGTTTGGTTGAAATGGAAGGTGATTTGAAGAGGGTTCTTGTAAATGAGACTGGTTTGGAGCCAAAGGAGCAGAGATTGTTGTTTAGAGGGAAAGAAAAGGATGATGAGGAATGTTTGGATATGGCAGGAGTAAAGGACATGTCAAAGGTGATACTATTAGAAGACCCAGCCAGCAAAGAGAGGAAATTGCAGCAGAAAAATCAAAACATACAAAAAGCTTATGAAGCAGTTGCCAAGGTCAGAGAAGAGGTTGATAAGCTCTCTGAAAAGGTTAGTACCCCATTAAAAAGGTTGAAAGACAAGGTGCTTTCTATATGACATCATCCAAAGTTACCTAACCTATGATTCTTTAGGTGGTTGCCTTGGAGGCAATTGTTCAAGGAGGCACCAAAAAGGTGGAGGAGAAGGAATTCACCGTCTTGACTGGGCAGTTCATGCTGCAATTGCTTAAATTGGACACAATTGATGCTGATGGAGAAGCAAAAGTCCAAAGGAGGATTGAGGTTAGTTTTGAGCATGCAATTATTCTCTCTATAAGAAATCCTCATGCTTTTGCTTTACGCTAAATAATTGTAGCTTAAGGTAGATGCTTTGACATTCAATCATGTCCCGGAAAATGTTCAAATGATGAATTCTAATTTTTAAGTCTTCACCAATACATTCTCGCTGGAAAGAGGAAACTTTTTATTTGGAAAGGGATGGTTCATTTCTCACTTTTATTATTCTCTTTGTTAGATGTATAGTAATCTATATGAGATTTTATGCAATATAAGAACAGAGATTTTCTTCTTTGTAAACGGTATCTCTGGGTTAAACATGTCACCCTGCCCTTTTCTCTGTGGTCCTAGCTTTACATTCCTGGGATTTTCAACTGGTAAAACTGTAAAAAGTAGGGGGAAAGGGGACAATGAATGGTTTTGTCAATTAAAGCAACAAACAAGAAAGAAAGCTTGCAATTCATAGTTTCATACTATCTTGCTCTCAAGTCTCGCCATCTTTGTCCTTATAGTTGTTAATATCTTGGTGGCTCATGACTGCCTGGATGATGCTCTTGAAAACTGTGCATGCTATTCTGTCACCTCTTTTGGACTTGAAAACAGAGTTTTCATTGAGCCATACACCTGTGAATTACCTATTTGATATGCGTGCTAAGTTGGTGATGATATATTGCATCTTCGATTCCCACTCAACAGGTTCATCGTGTACAAGGTTTTTTGGACACCCTTGACAACTTGAAGGCAAGAAACTCTAATCCCTTCAGTCCAAGTGGCAATGCAGTGTCAGTGACTACCAAATGGGAGACATTCGAATCTGGGGTAGGAAGCCTGAGTGCCAAGCCAAACCCCTTACTGTCATCTACAAGAATAACTCAAGATTGGGAAGTATTCGACTAGGCACCATTGAACAGTGCCGTACAGATTCTAAAGAACCATTTTGTGCGACTTTGGGACTCAAAAAATCACTAGTAGAGTTTTAATATTCGCCTGTTTGTGATCTTTTCAACCTGCTCTCTCTCTTTAATATTTGCTGTACACATTCTTTTTGTAGCTCTCCTTTTCTATATGTAGATATATCAACTACATGCACCTCCTCCTGCAGTTCTTCTGCGCCCTATAAATCTTTTTATGTTTGGGTAACAAAAAACATATGCAAGAAAGCAGTCCATGTGTCATATACAATTTAACTGCATTAGAAAGATTATGTAAATGTAAAAATCCAAATCTTGTGTCAAAACAAGCATAAAAGGCAACAGCCATATCTGGTAAATAGAGCTAATCACCTCAAATGCTAGTTATTGTGAATAAATTCCTAAATAAGACATGGGAGAAAACTTTGAAACGTGATTAGTTAGGTTCATTGCAGAAGCTGCTCCTCATAACTTGATGATAGACATTGCTCTCTAATAACGCATGGTTAGCCAATAGCCACCTTCAATCACGGTTCCTCTGATGTACCATTTGAGTAGGGTTCGCCTGCAGCAGGTGAGCCATTGGCCAACCGATGTGCGCTGGTGGAATTTGAATATGGGGAATATGCAGAAACTGGGCTGCCTCTTGAATGCCGGCTTTGTGCAGCTGTGCTGCTTCTTGTCATCTTGAGTCGAGCCTTTCTACCCTGTACAAGAAAAGAAGCTTCATGATTGACATGGGAAGACGCTTGAGGGAAACATAGCATGTTTAAGGGTGAGAATTCAATGCAGGATGATCTTGCCAGAAAACAACACCAAATAATAAGCAAAGAGACAGAGTATACAGCATAAGAAAATCAAAGAAGCGGTGTCACCTTTCCCATGCATTTCTCTAAATGAGGAGCAAATTTTCCGGCCATAACTGATCGCCCACAATTCATGCACTCAAATATTTCAGTTGCTACTGGGGGATGTGCTTGTCCAAAAATGTCAACCACATACTTGCTGTTCATTTCACCATTGTAACTAGGATCAGCTACTCTAGCACAGGCTTCTTCTGACAACCTCAATTCCTCCTCTTCTTCATCCAAATTATGATCAAGGCCCAACCTTGCTATCCGATGGCACTCTGATGCAATATCAACAATTACAGAATCCAGGAGGTCCTCAAAGAAATAAGATGAAAGCTTCGAATGCAATCCAAACAAAAGCAAATGAACTGTGAGACAGTGTGGTTGAACCAAGGCAAGAACTAACAAAATCAAATACAAACAAACAATAGAGTGGATTTCATCAAGTATCTATTTATCTCCCATACATCATCAAAGAAATGGAAAAGATAAATATCCAGCAATGAAACAAATAAAAGGGGGAAAAGTAAACAATGAAAATAAAAGAACAAAAGGAAGCTATTGAATAAAAATAGTAACTTTTCAACCATAGGATTATCCAATGAACTATGAACCCAACCAATTCATCTTTCATGTTCTTTAGCAAAATATGGTTGTGAAGATATGTGCCAGAAGAAGTACAAATATTGGAGCTACCCATCTTTTTTCCTCCTTGCACAACAATCTACTGTCCATGTGTTAGTTTTTATTACTGAAACAAAGTGATTAATCACTGAATAGATGAAATACCTCAGTATGATTATCATCATTTGGTCCGGACATGTCATAAGGCAGAGAAGCTGACTGCAAGATTTAATTAAAAGGCAGAAGAACCAACTAACCTGCAAATAAAAGAGAAAACTCAGACAATATTGGGTTTTAATGATACAAGTAACAGAATATGAGTCTATGGAATCAAAACAAATCCCAATCAAAGAAATCAGCTGCTACTGAGAAATGCAGACAAGACCATATTGATGAACAACCTAGGATTGGGACAAAACTTCCCAATTCTCAGGGAATACATGAAAAAAAACAAAATAAAAATAAAATCATAGTACACAAAATACAGAACCCTGCAAATGTATATTCAAATATTGAAGTACTTTCAATAGAAATTTCTTGCAAAACAAGAATTGGAGAAAAACTAACTGATAAAAAAAAAAATTAATTCCTACATAAGACAGGGAGAGGGAGAAGTGTAAAAATTATGCATGTGTTCTCAATACAAGGCTTACATCCCAACCTAAAACCAATTGGAGAATGAAAATTGGCGATTAATTCACAGATCAAGAAAAGGAGAAACAGCCCTTACCAGTTACCAGCAGCAAGCGAGCAAGGGAGAGGGAAGCAGAGATTACACGATCGTTTTGGTACCAAGTGAGGAATGAATGTGGGCCGTATGGGTACGTATAGCCCAGGAAAAAGGCAAAACTATACGTTAAGCCCCTAAACTAACTTCAGATTCACTATTGAGCCCTAAACTTTAATTGATGCATATAAGCCCTTGGACCCCACAATCTGAGCAACTTAGCCCTTAATTCTTCAACTAGTGTAAGAGTAATCGCTAAATTTCCATAAGAATAAGGGTTATATCGTTCAGATTGTGGAGTTCAGGGGCTCATATGCATCAATTAAAGTCTGGGGCTCAATAATGAATCTGAGTTTAGTTCAGGGGCTTAACATGTGGTTTGCCCAGGAAAAAATCCTCCTTATCATCTGCCGGCCGTTTGATATTGATTGCAGTCTAGCGCCGTGGCCCATGGCCCATGGCCCATGGCCTGGTTTCATATTGCCAATGATTTCCTATATAAACTAAGCGCTTATTTGGTGGAGTTTTTTATATTCTTTATATTTTTTATTATTTATGGGTGATAAATTTAAATTTTTATTGAAAAAAATTTAAAAACTATTTTTAGAAATAAAAAAGTGAGTAAGAAGTAAATAAAAAAGAAGTTTATAAAAAATAAAAAGTTAAACATTTTTAAAATTCAGTATTTAAGGGCTTTTTAAGATTAAAAAAAAGTTAAAAAATGTAAACTTTTAAAAAATAAATTTAAATTTATAAAATATGAATAATATAAAAAAAATTAAAACACTTACAAACTTCACCAAATATGTTCTAAATGAAGAGGTTCGGTTTGCTTTCATAGCATACCAATTTACAAATTTAATGGATAAGAAAATGCGCTAGGACAGAAAATAAAACGATTATTTGTCACAATGCCTTCAACTCCATACACCAATCCATGCAAATTCCGTAAGTGAAATAAAACAAGGGAACCAGGGTATGGAATATGGGACTTTTAAAGCCCACCCTTCATACTCCATTTTTTCTCCCTAATATAATAGTTAAAGCAAGCCCTCAGCCTCCGGGCTTCATCAGCAATGGATCCAGTTGCGATTTTTTGTACTTGTGTTTCATCCTCTTCCTTGCATTCATCCTCTTCCTTGCATTCATCATCCTTCTCTCTTGGCTTAGACATGCCAGAAGTCAGCGTTCTGTTTTCACTTCCACATAGAAGCTGTCTAAGGAGGCAGAGGATTGATGATTATGATGATGCAACAGAGGAATAGCAGCAGTACGGGAGTCAAATCAACTAGAAAATTTCCTTGTAGAAGTGTTTTCTATACTTTCACAAAAAACAGAATAAAAAAAGAAAGTGTTTTTATACATTGTTAAGCACCTGTAAGCATGATATCTCTTCTTTCCTTCCTGATAGCTTATATGTAACTCATATAATTTTCTCCAGCAGTCATAATGGATCGAGAACAGAAATGTTATGTTCAACTCATTTTTCTTGAATAGTTTTAGCTCTTATTAATACCATATTGAATATTCTAAATACCAGAGGAATAGAGTACAGCATTTGCCCATTGAAATGGCTGCAACAACATTATTCTACTGGAAGTTACTCCTGCTAATTCTTACATTGCTCTGAGTAAAGGAGATTCCTGAGTTAGAAAACAAGACTACCAACAAATATAGAAGCTAATGTAGCTGTAAGGTTGTCATCAAGCTTGGTACTAATTGGGAGGGACTCAACCAGGGCTGATGCGAGAGAGACGATCAAGAAACCCAAGACCATTTCCCAACTTTCTTGAATGTATCCAAAGTATGAAAAGTAGTACATAAACCTGTTATATATAGAACCACTCATTGTAAGAAACATACCATACACAGAGGCTTAAAATAAAAATCATCACAGTAAAACTTACGCAAGGGATGCCAAAAAACCAGCTGTTGCCATTGCCACACTACCCGCTATAGATTTGTTTCTGTTGTAAGGTAGTTTTTTTGTCCCAAATCGCCTTCCCACAATATCAGCCAAACCTGAAACAGGGGACAGTGCGTAAGATTGTGTGTCAAAGGCTTATTGGCTGCAAGTTCAACTTAGATCATTCAACTGAACAGCTTGAAGTTTAGCAAACTATACCATCTCCAGCACACAAGTTGCATATTGCAGCAATTGCTATAGGTGAAGTCCTCCAGTAGATCGCACAAGCCAAAGTAATTGTTGTGGCATAGTATAATGGTCCCTTAAGAAGCTCCCTGTTGTGTTGAGTCCATTAAGAATATATTGAGAAGCCATGAAGAAATGATTAATCAAAAAGATGACCAAAAATGTAACTAATTTTAGTTTCAGCTCAATCCTGTCATGCCTTGTAACACACCCATGAAACATTCCATCCTTGTTTGATTATATTTTAAATAACAGTCCTTAGTTACTGAGGACTTAATTGAATAATTTGAAAGTTCTAAAGGTTGCCTTGCTATTATTTTATGGTTATTGGAAGTATTTATGTCATGTTTATTTATGACACTAATGAAACTGTTCAGTATTGATGAGCAGCGTTTGATGGAACTGATTCTATGCTTCCTGAGGTAAAGGAATGTATTTTCTGGTTTGTTCTAGAATGGAGACCAGGTACGTATGTGCTTGGATTGAACTTACCTGTTTTAAATTAGATAGTTCTAATTTAGAGAATTGTAAGGGCAGGTCCGAGGTGCTCAACCTCGGACGTACGGCAGTAATTCTTTTACAATCGAAGTAAGGAATAAATCCAGAGCTCCCCACTCGAACAGCAGCATAACAGTTACGATGGACATCCTCACATCAAATCCCGAATATCTTGCTTGGCTCAATCTCTGGGTCCCAAAATAACTGCTTGGAGATACGCATCAAATCCCGAAATAACTGCCTGGAGATACACATCAAATCCCAAATATTTTGCTTAGCATGCCACGTGGTTTCTTCATGGGAACATATAAATACCCCTCAAGGGCCACGCCAAAAGGTAATTGGAACCAACCCTAAGCTCCTTGTTTCTCCACTCTAAAGGTAGCCCCGATTATTGCTGACTTAAGCATCGGAGTGTCTACCCCGAGGATCCACCTCGGGGCTTTGCAGGTCAATTCAGAGCGCAGATACGGACTGAAGAAGGACTTCTGGTTTGGTGCAGTTACAAGAATGTGGATTATTTTCAAGATGATGATTTGTCTATGCCTAATTCTTGTATCATGACATAGGTTTCATATGGAAGAACAACATAAGTTAATTCATGGAACTGGTTAAGTTAAATTAAGATTTCAGTTATGGCTCTTAAGTTATAACCTATGCTTATTGGGCTTCATAGCTCATGGTGTATTGTTCACCCTGTTTCAGGTTAGCTAGTGAAGAGATCAACAATTTTTGGGAGACTAAGAGTTTCCTACAGTTGCTGGTGGTGAACAAGCTTTTCAGGCTTGTTGAGGTAACTTGTATCTGCCCAAAGCTAAATCCTAGCTCAATGTGCAGAAGGAAAACTAAATTCCAAAAAGGTCAGGTTTGGCTCAATGTCTGCAACTATTTAAAATGGAGTTAATCTTAAAGTTACAGCTCAAACCTGACCTTTTTAGCTAAGGTTGCAGCTCTGGGATGTAACAGCCCAACTTATAGGAAAACTAAATTGCAATTGTAGAAGCAAGAATGCTATCGAACTCCTAGGTGACAATGTTGATTAGTTAAAAGGCCAAAATAGTAGCTAGAGATAAAACAAAGACACTCAAAGAAGGTAGGGTATGCAGCCACACAACCATCAAGAACAAAATCATATCATTTTAACCTGTAGTCACCATATCTGCTCATTGACTTCACAGTTGCTTCATCTTTCCATATCCCCAAGCCCAAAAGAAGCATTCGTATGATATTAACTCCAGGAGCAAAGGCTGCTAAAATTGCCCCACGATGCCCAGAACTGCAATGATTAGTGATAGCCATTTCATCAGGTCCAAGAGGATATATGTACTAAAACAAATAAACAACACCCTTAAAGGGTGTCTCAACCTGTAAGAAATTTGGGACCTTTAACTTCAAGTTGAATATTGAGACATGATGGAGGGATTTGTAAAAGGGAAGGGCTAAAAATATAAAGCCATATCAACAATGACAATACCTGAATAATGGCCAGCAAAGCATGAAAACCAACCCGATACTTATATGCACAAGCTTCCTATTCAGTTTCTGAACAAAAATAGAGACAGGATAAGAAACACAAGTCCAACCTTAAGTCTGTCTTTGATAGCAGAGCACTAAACTATGAAAATCTAAACTGTCTGTAAGAATTGAGCATTATGAATTGTAGTACAAAGTTTAATACAAAACAGGAAACATAACAGATACAAATGAAAAAATTGCTCAAGCAACTTTAACACACTGATACCAGTTACATAACTTCAGTACAAAGTTTCGATATTACAGAACGCAAGACCCAAAACAAATCAAAGCATCTCTAATCTCGAAAGTCAAAACTGCAATTTTCAAGCAACCAGACACAGTTTCCGAATGCAACTCACCTGGTCGAGGCCCTGTTTCGCCGTTTCTTGCCAAAGTCGAAGAAACGCAAATATTGCGCCGGCGGTAATAACGCCGGCAAACAAATCGGACAACACAGCATTTTCGACCAACATTGTAATTATCTTCAATTAGGAACAAACCATGAAAGGGAAGTGCATCTTATTTGGACCTCTTATCTACCACGTGCAACTTATTTTTTTTTTTTTAATGATTAAATCCTCAATTTGCCACTTAACTATTATACAAACAGTCTTCACGTGATGTTTAAATTAAAAGAATTTTTAATTTAATCCTTAACATTTTTAAATTTAACTTTAAATTAATTATTCTATTAA